ATGATCATAAAAATCTGCACTGTGAAGATCATTCAGTAATGTGTTTGGTTGTTCTTTCTCAGGAAATGCACAGTGAAACCTTGATAGCTGATCCACTCAAAAGTTTTAAGGAGAGGAAGGAAAAATGTCGACTAAAAAAGGACACACGCATGCCATCAGCTCACCTTCCTATCAAGACGCCCACTAATTTTTCAGCCAGTAAGCATATGCTGTTTAATTCAGAATCACGTGGCATGATTGTCAGAAATGTTTTTAAATTTCTTAAAAAAATAAAAAACCTAAAGTGATCTTCAAGTAATATCTATCCATATTTATATCAAACATGTTTATTCTCATTGTGTTACTTTTGCTTTTGCAGAAAATCGAAATGCCTTAACCATGATCACCTGGGATGATTTTCAAGGGCTGAATGTTAAGATGAGATACCATGACGGACGAATTCAAGTGGATGAAGCTGGCTATTACTATGTATATGCCAAGACCTGCTTTCGATACGCTGAGGAACACGACTCGAGCAAAGAGGACGTCAGCAATGTACAGTTGCTTCAATACATTTATCACGAGAAGCACACACAGTCTGTAATTACACCTATTCTCCTTACAAAAAGCGGCGGCACTCTGCAGTGGAACATCGCGAAGTACAACATGTACTGCGTGGAGCAGGGCAGAGGCATCCAACTGAATAATAACGATGGTATTTTTGTCAATGTATCCAATGCATGGCTACTGGACCCAGCAGCTGACGGGACGTATTTTGGAACTTTTAAGATAAGCAATTGATTTGCATCATTTTTGCTACTGAACATGTTAATGCACATTTTGCAACCTTACGAACTTTTTTTTAAAGTGACCATGAACCACTGAGCACTTGTTTTTGATCACTGACTTTTGAAGTTTTGTTCAATATAGATGACTTTTAAGAGCACGTTATAACTTTGCACACTTCTCAATTGTGCCATTGAAGCTCTTAAGTACCAGCACTAGAAAACCAAGAATGGACTCAGGCCT